CTTGCACTAGGATCTGGAATACATACTGCAGAAATAACCTCTGACTGAGACTTTGCAACTAACAGTGCACTTTCAATAAGTTCTTCTTCTTCCACTTCGGCTTCATGGTGCACCACTTCTCTGTTGTCATAGCTCTTGCCACTTCTCAATGTCCGTATTACTTTGCAATGCTCCATCCCTCTTGGATTTTGCTCAGATTGGCTTGGGAACTTTCTTTTCTTTCTTTCATTGAACATGGTAGCAAGCTGTCCAACTTGAGTCTTCAAATTCCCCACTGATGCCGTGAGATTCTGAATGCTAGTTTGTGTGGATTGGGCAAAAGTTTTGGTGCTATTAGAGAGAGCGAACATATGTTGAGCTAGCTGTGACATTTGATCTTCAAGAGATGGTTTCTTAATCTCACTAGTTGATTGGTAAGACTGTTGGTATTGACGTGGCTGTTGGTTGCCACCCCAACTAAGATTGGGTTGGTTCTTTCACCCATGATTATATGTATTGGAATAAGGGTCACTTCTGGGTCTAATGAAATTATTCACCATATTCACATGCTCTTGCACAAGCTCAGGGTAGCTATCCTTGTTGGGGCATTGAGTGATGTCATGAGTTGTCTCACTACAAATGATGCAAGCTTCTTGGGCATTGGACATGGAAGAGACCTGCATTAAGGCAATAAACTTGGCATTAAATTTCTTCTCCATTTTAGCAATTTGAGCAGAAACATTAGGAGAACTCTGAGAAATCTCAAAAACTCCCTTCTTTGTGTTTGTTCTTCTGTCCATTGTTGGGATTCAGAAGCCATCATATCAAATAACTCAAATGCTTCCCTTGCTGATTTTGACATTAGTGACCCTCCAACAGATGCATTCACTTGACTCTTGGTGGTGGCATTGAGACCATCATAAAATATGTTCATTTGAAGGTTAGAATCAAACCCAGCATGAGGACATTTTGTGTACATCTCATTATACCGTTCCCAAGCTTCATGGAAAGACTTGTTTGGCTTTTGAGCGAAAGTCAATATCTCTTTCTTGAGTGCAAGAGTCTTGGAAGAAGGAAAAAACTTATTGAGAAATTTTTCTTGCAATTATGTCCATGTTGTAATGCTATTGGCAGGCAGAGAATGCAACCACACCTTGGCTTTGTCCTTCAAAGAGAACGGGAACAAGCGTAACTTGATAGCTTCAGAAGAGGAACCTCTGATTATGGTGTTGTCACATGCCTCAATAAAATCAGCCAAATGCATGTTAGGATCATTGTTTGGCAACCCATGAAAGGATGGCAATATGTTGAGGATGTGAGGTTTGATTTCAAAAGTTGTCCCATCTTCCACATCTGGATATATAATGCACCTTGGCACTGCATTGACTTTCGCTGCCAATGAATTCCTTAAAGGTTGACCTGCTGCAGGTAAGGCTAGGGCCATGTGTGCAACTGGTGCCAAAGGTTGGAAAATAGATGTGTTGCTCTCAGGATCACGGAACAAATCCTTAAGAAAAGTATCACCAAGGTTGGAATCTTGTGCTAAATATTTTTCTCTAGCTAACTTCCTTGCAATTCTCTCTGGTTCAGGGTCGTAAGGAATAAGCACTTGATTCTTGGACCTTGTTCTTATCACCATATACTACACCTGAACAAACAACAGAAATATTAAGCCACAATAAAAATAAAAGTAAAATAAAATAAAACTTAACAGAAACTAACTAAACAACAAAAAGGAAAAGAAAGTAAGTAAAACTAGATGAATCAAAAACACAGTTTATGCAAATTGGCAACCACTAGTTAGTTAAACAAAGACAAAAATCTCACACCACACATCCACTGCACTTAATCAAAGATCGAAACTCAACTAAATTAATTGCTGTTTTTTTTAATGATTAATAAAAATAAGACATAAACATAAGCATAAGAAAAATAAACACAAAAGCTCAGGAACTGTTGGCACAGTCCCCGGCAACGGCGCCAATTTCTTGATAGCGATATTACCACTTGTAAAACAAGGGTTAAACCATAGAAAATTCTTGCAAGAGAACAAGTGTTTGTAGTATAGAATGGCTCAAGCAAGGTCGATCTTCTCAGGGACTGATATAAACAATTTACGAGTTTTTGTGTATTTAACTTATTTAACTCTAAGAACTACACTAATTTGACAAAGCTAAATACTACTGAATGTGACTTAAACAAATATCTAAAATGGCAATTGGCTTATAGGAATAGTGATCCAACTAAACAAAACAAGTAAATATATAAACTCAAGATAATACAAATAATTTAAGAAAATTAGATTGACAAGGTGCTAGAGTTCAACCTTTTACCAACAACACTCCTACGTAGCTCTTCCAATTGCTTAAGTAATCGAAAACATATATGCTTTGAAGGTTGGGTTTTCCTTGTGTATGTTTTACTTGTGACATTCAAGTTAAAACGCATACCACTACATGCAATTTATCCATGACATTTGGATTAAATATAAACATGAATGATTCATTAATCTTGAAGAAAATCCTTTTGTTAAACCATGTAATCCCTAAGAGTATGATATTTACCTTAGGAGAAATTACAATCCTCAATCACAAGAAGCATAACCAATTTTAACGTGACATTCGTTCAAAATTGCATCCAATGACTTTTCTAAGCATCCTAATGGTGATCAATCATCAAGACACATAGATAGTTTAATTTAGAGATTGAAAATATCAAAGCAAGCATGTAACAACACTTAAGCAATTGAAAGAGAAATCTACGTAATCATGTTGCGGCTCATGGCCTCACTCTAGCAAAAGGAAATTAGTTATACATAATTATTTAAATACATAAGAAATTATCCATGAAGAATCAAAGAAAGAGACAACCCTTTTTTTTACAAGGAAGCTATCTCCTGAGCTCTCCGATCCTCTTGGAGCTGCGGCATCCCTTCTGCTTTCTGCTATGTTGCTCCTGCAACTCTATCCGTTCCTCTTCTTCTCTGCTCTCCTTTCTTTTGCTCTCTGCCGTGTGCCTTGTGTCTTTCCCACTGCCGGTCTGTGTGTTTTCTTTTCTTGCCTTTAACAAAAGGCAGCTCTTTTCCAAGTCACTAAGGCCACAAGTGGAAGACAAGCCTCATCCCATTTCCTAGTGCTCCACTTTATCCTCACTCCCCCACTTTGCTTTCTGATTTCTTTTTCAAACACCACCCGTGGAGACAAGCTCCACTTCCATCACTCCCCCACTTTGCTTTCTGATTTCTTTTTCAAACACCACCCGTGGAGACAAGCTCCACTTCCAATTCTTTCCTTTGTTTTTAGGGAATTTTAACGAAAAGCACCCGGTACTGTTCACTTTAACGAAAAACCACATTTTTACACTAAAAAGTCAATCCTGGTACTATTCATTTTACCCTTTATTTTGTCCTTATCATTAAAACTCAAAGTTTTCAAGCCCTTTTAATTAGTTTTCCTTTGTTTTTATTATTTCCTTTTCTCATTTTTGCTTGAAATTGATCCTAAAGCAAATTTAACTGCACACTAACACAAGGTAAGGTAAAATGCACCCGTGGAGACAAGCTCCACTTCCAATTCTTTCCTTTGTTTTTATTATTTCCTTTTCTCATTTTTGCTTGAAATTGATCCTAAAGCAAATTTAACTGCACACTAACACAAGGTAAGGTAAAATGCAACCATTTTAGCACAAAAACATCACAAAGACTTTAGAAATTGATGGTATAAATGCATGAAATATATGAGTGATCAGCTATGAATAAGAAACAAGCACGTTTATCGACACTTAGTTAATAATCTAATCATCTATAGCAACATTATTTTGTTTGCAAATTTGATCTAAAATTTTTGGTCTTGCTAGCATTACCATATAAAAAATATGCGTGCTGGGATGAAACGTGACGTTATTGCATATACAACAGCTACCAAGGTTTGAAGCTTTCCTGTCACGCGATTTATCTTGTTTGTAACCACTATTCTTCCTACATGCGCGTAATTAGATGCAAAATTGCATTATTTTCCGCCCTAAATGTGATGCATCATGTCATTTGGTTCATACGTGTGCGTGGAAAGCGGAAATTTGGAGCAAGCATTGTCGCTGTTTGCAGAAATGAAAAAATATCAGATACACCCAAATTTCGTGAGTACCAAGAACAAATGGTTCTGATTTACAATCATATGTCCTAGCACGTTCTGAGAAAAGTTTTCGTACAAAATAAGCACGATTTACAAATAATTCCATATTAGTTGGTTTACATTAGGGTTTCCTTTTAGCATGTTATGTTGGAGTGGTCCTGCCATAAGGATGGAACTGCTCCAAGATGTCTGAAAACATAATCGCCGGTCATTTTTTTGCTTTATTTTATAAGATACGAGAATTCCAGACATGCCTGGACATGATTCTGCGTATAATTCTAATGACAATGCAAACAAAATGATCACAAGTCCAACGTGTAGATCCTCGAGTTTTTTTACTTTTCAGGTGACATATAATACAATTCTGAGGGCTCGTAGCAGATACGATTCTGTGAGGGGAGTATAACAATGCCTGGCTACATACCGGGACGTGCAGAATGCAGGGTATACCAACACATATTTTGGTTGTCATGAACAAGTACATTTTGCTAATTCTGCAGTTATTTCGCGGTACAAATCTAACGATCATTACCTCAAGCAACTAATTGAGGAGTGGTGTGAAGGATTTATGCATGACAGCTATGCCAACAAGGAGAGTTCAGTTCCCACGACAAAACTGATGTAGGGAGACCTGGAGGTCTGCTGCTTGAAAAAGTTGCTGAGCACCTGCAAAAGCATATTGAGCAGTTGACCTTCAAGGATTGACAAACGCATGGTTACATATCTGCAGAATCTTGGAGATTATGTTATTACGTGAACTCGTTAGGAATTATCCCTTTGATAATTGTTCTCAGTTTGCTAAAATAATTATTGACAGGTTGAAGCTCGTATCGTTCTTGCAGTTCTATGAATGATCAAAGAGAACTAAAGATTAGGTATGGAACTAAAGAGAACTAGTTTCGCCAAAGCAATAAGTTTCCAAAATTACAGTCCCACATTAAGAACACATTTCTTTGATTATACAGTCACAGAGACGCAACATCAGCAGGAAAATAAGAAAAAAGACTTGTCATTCACGAGGAAACAAAGTCACGAAATCATTGTTCATCACTTACCATAAAACAAACACTCCTACCAAACTCAAGCCTGAGGCTCATATGTCATATCCAATCCTGCTCCTGCAGTTTTAGCGGCAAGTAAACCTGAGTCAGATATTGAAAGCCAAATGCGCTCAGAGCCTGAATCTCTGCTTTCTGCTTGGTCTTCACCATAAGAGTCAGCTCCTCAACCCATTTTGGATTCTTCTTCACAAAATCTTCCTCCAACATTTCTTTCCCTGTTTTGATATCCTGATCTGTCATCGTCAACCTACACTGCTCTGGAATTTTGTACTTGTCCAAATCACTCGGCCGTATCCCCAACCATTTGATATCCGGTGTGGTCAAATTCGCACTGTCGTATGACATGTTCTTCGACCCACAACCATAAACCGATAAAATCTTCAGGCCATATGGATCACTGTCCACAAGGGCGAGCACCGGTAGCTTCAATTCAAGCTTCAATTTCCTCAAAAAGAGTCTAGTGGCTACATCAGGTTGCCCCTTCGCAGTCAGGATAATACACGGAAACCTATTGTAAAACCGATCCTCAGACAATCGAATAAAAGCCGCATCCTTCTCAACCAGCAGTATGAACAATGCATCACTCTGCACATCCCCAACTTTGCGGATATTGGGCGGAATGGCTTTTCCGCCCATTCCCATTTTTGTGCAATCAATCATATCGCCATTGTCGCTGAATATAAGCCTCCCCACAACTACACCTTTCTCTGAGGCAATCACATTGAGACTAGAGCGCGTACAGCCAACCATACAGGCCGCATCATCGAGGACCGAATCGGACTGATTCTGGTCCTGAAAGAGCTTGACATCGGTGTAGAAAAGGTCACGCTTGGTGACGTGGATGTCCTTGAGGCAGAGCTGGTGAATCAGCTGCAGAACACGAGCTGTGATGGTGGCCTTGCGGACGGTGGAGACGTTGGCGTACGGGCGAAGGGAAGTCTTGTCCTTCAACACGATGCGGTCGAGCTCCGGGATGTACAGCTGGTTGGCGGCGGCGCGTGAGGGGACCTGGAATGTGAAGCCGTTGCCGTCGAGGATGGATTTGATGACCTTGAGCATTTGGAGTTCGATCTCGTACTGTACAGACTCGTGGTCGAGTTCGCGGACCTCGCGGCAGGTGGAGGAGATGGGGAGGTCGGCCAGGCTTAGGGATTTGGAGGAGGAGGCGGCGGCGGTGGTGGAGCGGAGGTTCTCGAGGGTTTTGTTGATGATTGTGTCTTTCTTGGGGACCTTCTTGTTGGGATGGTGGGTTTCATCGTCGGAGCTCGGGTCGGTTCGACGGCGTTTCCCTTTCTTGTCCGCCATCGTTGGGATATGGGGAAAGAGAGAAGGGTTGAAGTGGCGGGAAGCGCTGAGGTTTGTGGCTGCAACTCATTTTTTTCACTCTAGGTATTTGTATTTAGGTTTTCTGATTACAAATGGAGGCCCGAACCCGAAGGCCCAACAAAACCCAAGTTGAAACTTTAAAGGCCCGAACCCGAACCCGAAGGCCCGATCAATGATTTCATACTACTGGGCTGGCCGAATGAAAAAATGGTCATCCAGCAATAGAGAGAAGTAGAATTTTCAGCTCGATCGCTTAACCAGAATTTGATCCGCAATACGATATATTGTTATGCTAGAATAGTACCAAATCAATTGGAAATAAACATAAGCTAACCCACAAAAAATATATCTAATGAAATGCAAGAACAAAATAGAAAAGACACCAAGATTTAATGAGGTTCCTCAACAGTCAATGTAATTGGAGTACGTTCTCGGAGCAGTAGGAGCTCACCTAATAATCCACTATCAATCAAATGGGAGTGTTTACAAAGTATTTGGCAATCTCACTACCCAAAACCCCAATATACCCAATAGCTCTTACACACCAAAGAAACAAATAGAAAAGAAAATATAGAGATTAATTTCCTCTGCAAAGCCAAATGCTCCAAACTTCTACTGCTCAACATTTTCTTTATATATGCAAAATGTGAGCCAAGTTCAAGCAATGAACAAACTTGGCTACATAAACAACCTTAGTCAACATATTAACAAGGGTTGTAGGGTTTAGTTGGAATATTTTGGAGATTTCACCAACAACTTCACGCACAAGTAATAACGCACATCTATGTGATTAGTCCTCGCATAATGAACTTGATGCTTAGCCAAATAAATGGCGCTCTAACTATTACAATGCACCTCCAACTGCTTCTGATCAACCCTTAAATCTCTGATAAGTTCATGCATCCAAATGACACCCTTTATAGCTTCCACAACTGCCATATATTCAACCTCTACAGTAGGCAACAAACCACTGCAAAATGGACCTCCACCAAACTGGCCCCTTAGCATAGTACAGATAGCCTATAGTAGACTTCCTTTGATCCAAGTCACCTAAATGATCTGAATCAACATAACCAATTGCAAAGTTGCCAATACTAGAGTCATCCCTCTCAAAGCATAAACCAACATCTCTAATATCATGGAGATAACTCAATGTTCACTTAGCTGCATGTCAATGCTCTTTACTTGAATTATGCATTTATGATATATCGACTTGTTTGTACCATACTTAGGGCCTCCGTATTTAGATCTTGTACAAATACTCGGAGGACTTAAATGTAATTATGTAATAAAGGAAGAGGCAAATATGTAATAAGTGAGGATCCCTTATTCTATAAAAGGACTCCTCACCCTCTCCTCATTAGGGGAGGCCAATCCTTAGGCCATACCCTAACCCTTTCAAAGCTCTCACATCACAGAGAAGCTCTCTCTCTCTCCTTCTTCAACATCTCAAAAAAATACAATATCAGTGTGGACATAGCCCAAACCTTAGGGTGAACCACGATACATCTTGTGTTATTTACATTACTTGCAGATTCACGGTCGGATTTACGTTGTTCCAATACCTCCAGTTTTGTGCATCAACATTTGGCCCTGTTTGTGGGAAACGACACGAAAAGCTGTGTCGGTTCTTTCATCTTTTTACCTCCGCCGTGGATCTGCAAAATCTGAAAGAATCCAAACCCTCCTTCCTTGGGCTTTTCCAGAAAACCCCTATAAACACAAAGCTGCTCGTCTCTCCCTCTTACTTTCTCTCTCTAAAAACTCCAGATTCGAAAAAAACTTTCTCTCTCTCTCTTTCTTAAGAAGTTGACAGTTTGTCTATCGAGGAGTTGGGGAGTAAAAACCCAAATAGGTGGATGGGAGAAAGCAGTATCTTTATTAAGTTATCACAGCCTCTGCACTCTGTTCTCTCTTACATTCCACGACAAAACGTTAAACGTGGCACTGCCATTACCAACAACACGCGATAAACACACCCCTTTCCTTCCATTTCCACCACACAGACTCACTGACTTCAACCAAAGATGAGAAACCAGACAACAATGGCGGAGGTCGAAGTTAACGAAGAGAAGAAGCAATTCTCGAGCACACATCCATGGTGACTGGGTGTAGGAACACCCAAATCCTCAAAGGTTCCTCGGTCGGCGATTCCAACAGGTGTCAATGTTCGGCATGTACTCTGCTTCTCCGATAATCACGCGCTACCTGAAATCGATGAGTTCACTGCGGAAGGAGCTCGGTTTATTCCTGGATGTGAGTCGGGTCGGGTCCACGGGTGATTTCGTTTCCAAAATGGAGCCCCGGTTCGAGGCAACTTTCAAGGACATGGAGGAGCTGAATGAATAGATCTACGAGATCCCACTCACCCAAGAAGGCCTGGCCCATGCCCAATTCACCAGCGTCGAGATCCACCGCGTCGTCTCGGACGCCACTGGAGTCAACAGCCCTAACTGACGCCGTTTCTGCTTCGCTATTTTTGTCCTCAGAAAAGCACCAGATATGCAGAGCAGTGGGCGAATACAAAGTTCCTGACGCCGGAGGAGGAGGTTTGGTGGATCCTTATTCGTCTCGTATTCCTTCCTAAAAACCCAAAAAACCCATCAGATTTGTGGAGCTTCAAGATCTCGCTCTGCTGCTCCACTTCTCAGAACACGCTCTCCGAGTTGTCCATGGGCGAAGCAACAATTTCTCGGCCGCATTTGTGAGGAGGCTATCGTTGCTGAAGGACCAGCACCTCAATAGCAATAGAGAAAAAGATCTGAAATCGAAAGGCGCTGCGTGCACGACAAGGTCAGAATAAGTTTTAGTCCCAACGACGACCAACGGTGAAGCAATAACCAGTATACAGAAGTGGCAAAGCACAGAACAAGATAAGATTCCATTTCTAAATAAGGATGTCTGGAGATGAGAAAAGCCGATGAGGAAGTGGATTCACAATACTGCTCACCCATGCTGTAAACCTGCAAAGCAGAAAAGCAAAAGCAGATAAGAGAATAAAATATGAGAGATTGTGATTTGAATGAGCAAGACCGCAAGTGGTAGGGGACAAATGGTAAAGAAGAGGTTAATGATTTAATTGGATGCACATGCATGACAAAGACAGAAAGAGAGGTGCAGTGAAAATAAGAAAGCAAAAATGGAACAAAGGAAAAAGAAGAAAGAGGAAAGCACTTGGATAAGTATACTGACCTTTCATCATGCATATTCCTATTTTGAAAAACTCATCCAGAGAACATGCAAAAGTATCAAAGTATGAGAGACCATGCCTACTGACCAAACCTGCCTTCACGTGAAGTTTTCCTCTAACAATTGCACAGGCTATCCCACTATCCAACCATATTTGCAGCAGCTTTTTTGAATGATGTAATTTATTTTTCTTATCTTTTGGATCTATATAAACCTCATCAGAGGTAAAAACAAAAAAAAAAACTAAAAAAAAAAAAAACAGTCAAGCCCAAAATAATGGGCTGGAATGTTATGTGGAGGGTTAAGGCCCATATGCCCAAAAGAGCTAGGCCCTATGGCGCCAAAATTATTCGGCAACCTGCCGCCCTTATCACCAATCAGGTGATCAAAAGTACGCCCAGTACTCTAAATTTATTCGGCAGCCTGCCGCTATTATCACCAACCAGGTGATCAAAAGTACGCTCAGTACTTCAAATTATACATGAGCATTACTCATGTCAATCATACATAAACATTTATGAGCATTACTCATATCAATCATACATAAACATTCATAAGCATCACTCACGTCAACATTCATGAGCATCACTCATGTCCACATCCATGAGCATCACTCATGTCAATCAACTTCAAAAGCTTCATTTACAGAGCTCTAGCTTCAAAAGCTTTATTTACAGAGCTCTAACTTCGAAAGCCTCATTTACAAAAGCTCTAGCTTCAAAAGTTTCATTTACAGAGCTCTAGCTTCAAAAGCTTCATTTACAAAAGCTCTAGCTTCAAAAACTCTATTTACAGAGCTCCAGCTTCAAAAGCTTCATTTACAAAAGCTCTAACTTCAAAAGCTTCATTTACAGAGCTCCAGCTTCAAAAGCTTCATTTACAAAAGCTTTAGCTTCCAAAGCTTCATTTACAGAGCTCTAGCTTCAAAGCTTCACTTGTAAAGCTTCACCTACAAAAGCTTCAGTGCAGGGTATACAAATACTGCCTCCAAACAACCGCCATTTCGGCCCATACATGGATTTAATTTGAAGTCTCTAGCCAACAGACTCTATTTACCGAAGACTTGGGGGACTACACTATACACCATTTATTGGGCCTCAACTGGGCCTCATAAAAAATACTTGGGAGACTTAGCCCATCACTTATGTATTGAGGAGCGAGCCCTTATTCTATAAAAGGGACTCCCTCACCATCATTAGAGAGCATCGCCGCCTACTGAGCAACCGCCTCGCTACGAGCATCAATTCTAGCCCATCAGTCATGTATTGAGGAGCGAGCCTTTATTCTATAAAAGGGACTCCCTCACCTTCAGCGAGCCAACCAAGGCAACATAAGCCACAAGCCGAGCAGCCTCGCAACATGTCCTACTTCTAGTTGAGCATCATTTTAGATTGGGCACCGCCTCATATCGAGTATCAGTTCTAGACAACATCTAGTTACTTCGGCCCACACATGGACTGAATTTCAAGTCTCCAGCCAAAAGATTCTCTTGACTGAAGACTTAGGGAACTACTGTTTGTACCATACTTAGGGCCTCCGTATTTAGATCTCGTACAAATACTCGGGGGACTTAAATGTAATTATGTAATAAAGGAATGGGCAAATATATAATAAGTGAGGAGCCCTTATTCTATAAAAGGACTCCTCACCCTCACAATTAGGGGAGGCCAATTCTTAGGCCATACCCTAACCCTTTCAAAGCTCTCACATCACAGAGAAGCTCTGTCTCTCTCCCTCTCCATCTTCAACATCTCAGAGAAATACAATATCAGTGTGGACGTAGCCCAAACCTTGGGGTGAACCACGATACATCTTGTGTTATTTACATTACTTGCAGATTCACGGTCGGGTTTGCGTTGTTCCAAGACCTTCGGTTTTGTACATCTAC